TTCATGCACTGGGCCTCTAGTTCACAATAATAATCACCATGCTTAAGCCTTTTTATATTTTAAAAGAAAATAAGATCAAATGTGGAGCTGGGTCCACAGGGGTTGCCACAGCCTTCCCTTCCCAGATGCCATGGAAGGCCTCTGCCCTCTCCCATAAGCTCTGAGCAGTCGTTTTCATTATCATCTTGGACTTCTCATTCAGATGGAAGAGCTGAAGAGGCATCTTTAGTCCACTTTTGTCATCTCTGGTTACCTCACTCATCCTGCCATTGCCTGCCCAAGTCTTAGTTAAAATAAAGTGGCATTTCTAACAGTTCTGAAAAATGAAAGGGGAAAGTTAATTCTTAGGGACCTCTGCTTTACTCTCTAGTATTTTTCCAAGTGTGGCTCTCTGACCATCTGTACCTGATCTCTTGGATGCCTGTTGGAAATGCAGATTCTTAGCCTCCCCTCTCCTATAGACTTACTTTATCTTTTTAAAAATTTATCTTTACTGTTGAAAGTATTACAGATGTCCCACTTTTTCCCCATTGACCCCCTCCATTCCACACCCATTTCTCTCCCCTGCCCCCACCCAAGCCTTCACCACACTATTGTCTGTGTCCATGAATTATGCATATAAGTTCTTTGGTTAATCTCTCCCCACCCACCTTCTGAGATTCATCAGTCTCTTCTATGCTTCTAAGTCTCTGGATCTATTTTGTTCATCAGTTTATTTTGTTCATAATGAATCAGGATCTCTGGGGGTAAATCCTAGAAATACCCATTTTCAACAAGCAGTTTCAGGAGTACATTCAAGTTTGGAACCACTGTTATTCCTCACTAGTTTCTTACTTCTTTTCCTTCTTTCTCCTGTTTCCTCTTATCTTCCCCTTTTCTTTTCTCATTCCCTGTACACCTGTTTGCTCCCTTTTTCCGCCTTCTTCATGCTAAGGGTTCAGAGTCACCTGTTGAACTGTTCTTCTAATATAATAACTATAAGTCCTCTGGAAACTTGGCTAGGAGGGGGAGAAATGTATGTATTTCTTACTGCCTTGCTTGTCCCCATAAAAGATGGTTCTATACAAAGCTATCCTCTCTGAGTCCCAGCTTTTGGAAGTGCATCATTCTTTCAAGTACACAGAAGTATGATATTCACAGCTATATTCCAGTGTAGGGGATGGTCTTTGGGGATTGGAAATGGTCTTCTTTATAGAAACATCACTGGCATGATGTCCCAGGGGAGTCAGCCAGCACCAGCCTCAGAATCATACACTGGTCTAGGTATCCTTGCTGGAGGGCACAAGGTAGTAAAGGCATTTGGGAAGTATGTGGTCAATAGGACAGGAAATAGTAGAGAAGGGAGTGGGACTGGCCAAGTGAGCATCTGCATGGAGTTTGGGGCAGGTGCCTCCAGGGTCCTGAACCTCTACTTTTTTGTCTTTACAGCCACTGAAGAAGAGACCAAGATGAATGCAGAGGTGAGTTCTTTCAAAGTGCCAGTTTAAAGAATGTTTTCTTGCAGTGGTCCTTGTTTTTCCTTCACAGAGTGTCTTCTCTCCCTTCAGAGCTTTCAGAAACATCAGCACAAACTCGAAAACATTCCCCCTCCAACATGGCTCTGGGTGATATGGGAAGAGTTAGGCCCTTCTGCATTCTATAGGTAGTAAAGGCATTTGGGGAGTATGTGGTCAACAGGACAGGAAATAGTAGAGAAGGAAGTGGGACTGGCCAAGTGGAGCATCTGCATGGAGTTTGGGGCAGGTGCCTCCAGGGTCCTGAACCTCTATTTTTTTTTTTTGTCTTCACAGCCACTGAAGAAGAGACCAAGATGAATGCAGAGGTGAGTTCTTTAAAGTGCCAGTTTAAAGAATGTTTTCTTGCGGTGTTCACTTTTCCTTCACAGAGTGTCCTCTCTCCCTTCAGAGCTTTCAGAAACATCAGCACAAACTCGAAAACATTCCCCCTCCAACATGGCTCTGGGTGATATGGGAAGAGTTAGGCCCTTCTGCATTCTATTTTTTAAAAATTGATTTTTAGAGAGAGGAAGGGGGAGAGAGCAAGAGAGAGAAACATTGATGTGAAAGAGGAACATCAATCCGTTGCCTCCTACATGCGTCCTGACCAAGGATGGAATTCACAACCTGGATATGTGCCTGGATATCGAGCTTGCCACCTTTTGGTGTAGGGAATGGCACTTCAATCAACTGGGCACTTTGAGTCTTTTAAGGAATATGACTAATTCATCCAAATTGTTGAATTTCTAGTTATAAAGGTATTCATAATAGTCTCGTATTATCCTTTCAATATTTGTTAATTCTGTGTTAGTGTCCTTTTCCTCACTTTTGATATTTTTTCTGAGCTGCCTGGAGAGATAATCTCAAAAAACAATAAATACAGAACAACCATCATTCAGACACCTACTACACAAGGCCATTCTACCAGTTCCAAAAGACATAGTAGCTCTACTTAATACATAGCAATAAACACAGGGAAGCAGCCAAAATGAGGAGACAAAGAAACATGTCACAAATGAAAGAAATGGAAACAAGCTAACTACTGGATACAGAGTTCAAAACCATGGTTATACAGTTACTCAAGGATCTTCATGAGAGCCTCAAGGCACTTAGTGAGACTTTCAAGGATCTCAGTGATAATGTCAAAGACATGAAAAACGACCACAGAAATTAAGCATACACTAACTGAAATAAAAATAATTTACAGGGATTCAACAGTAGAGGATTCTAAATCAACGACTTAGAATATGAGGATGCAAAAACACTCAATCAGAAGTGTGCCGTGCCAGCACAGTCACGTTCGGTGAGCCTGAGAGGGGGCAGTGAAAGATTAAGAAAAGACAGACAAGAGAATAAAGCTGTGTCTGGGTGGGACACTGCCCTCTCTGATGGAGAGACAGTGCCATGGCCTGCAAGCCGAGTCTTTATTTTATAACCAGATTCTACGAGGCAAAGTAAGGTGTGGTCAAGATGTTTACAACATTCTTGTGGGTTTTGAATCTACTCAATTACATGCAGGTGATCAAGTTTTGTTTACTTGCTGCACCTCAGGCAGCCCATATCACTTAGCCACCTGAGAGCCGCTGTCCACAAGAAGAGAAAAAGGAAAAAAGAATCTAAAAATATGAAGATAGTGTAAGGAGCCTCTAGGACAGTGGTTCTCAACCTTCCTAATGCCGCGACCCTTTAATACAGTTCCTCATGTTGTGGTGACCCCCAACCATAACAAGACATTGAAAACCTATTTGAAGAAATAATGACAGAAAACTTCCTCTTCCTGGTGAAAGAAATAGACTTACAAGTCCAGGAAGCACAGAGAGTCCCAAACAAGAGGAACCCAAAAGGCCTGCACCAAGACACATCATAATTAAAAGGGTTAAAGACAAAGAGAGAATCTTAAAAGCAGCAAGAGAAAAGCTGTTAGTTACCTACCAAGGGAGCTCCAGTATGACTGTTAGCTGATTTCACAACAGACACTTTGCAGGCCAGAAGTGAGTGGCACAAAATATTCAAAGTGATGACTAGCAAGGACCTACAACCAAAATTACTCTAGCCAGTAAAGCTCTCATTTAGATTGAAGGTCAGATAAAGAGCTTCACAGACAAGGAAAAGCTAAAGGAATTCACCACCACCAAACCAGTAATGACATGAAATGTTGAAGGGTATTCTTGAAGAAAATGGAGGAGGAAGCTGAGGAGGGGAGGAGGAGGAATAAAATAGAAAAAGTAGGGACAATAAAATGGCAATAAATGCATATATATTCACAATTGAATCTAAAAATAAAAATAAATGAACAAGGAATCTAATAAACAAAATAAACTGGTGGATAAAATAGAATCAGAGGCATGGAAACATAGAACTGACTGTCAATCTCAAAGGGAAGGGGAAGGGTGGCCTGAAAGAGATTACCCATGGTCATAAACAATAGGGTGATGAAAACCTGGGGTGGGGGTGGGGTGGGGGACCATGTGGAAGGGGGCAATGGGGTAAAAAATGGGTGATATCTGTAATACTCTCAACAATAAAGGCTTAAAAAAATAAAGGAAATAGCAACCTGTCCTGGCTAGTGTTGCTCAGTGTTTAGAGCATTGGCCCACTCACCAAAGGGTTGAGTGTTCAATTCCTGGTCAAGGGCACATACCTGGGTTTCAGGTTCAATCCCTGGCCCCTATTGGGGTGCATACAGGAGGCAGCCAGTCAATGTGTCTCATATCAATGTCTCTCGCTCTCTCTCTCTCTCTCTCTCTCTATCTCTGTCTCTCGTTTTCTTTCTCCCCCCTCTTCCCTCCATTACACTCTTTAAAAATCAATGGAGAAAATATCCTTGGGTGAGGATTAACAACAACAAAAAAGAAATGAGCAACCTGAGTGCATATAGTATATTCCAACTATGCCTATTAAATAAATTGAGCCTATAGTTAAAAACCTTTCCTCAGTGAGAAATTGTGCTAGATTGAAAATGCAGGTTGCTATGATGTGAAATGCCTGTGCACAGAGACCTTTGTCAAGGAACTGCAGGTGGCTTCCAGGAGCTGAGGGCCTCTCCTACAATCATGAGGATCTGAATTCTGCTGGCAACCACACAAGCTTAGCAGAGATCCTTGAGCTGTGGATGAGAACATAACTTGGTCAGCCTTGTAAAATCTGAGCAGAGGACCCAGTTAAGCCAACAGAGAATGTGAGATAATAAATTTGGCAACGGATCATAGATTGGTGTACTGGGCAGACTCCTTCCCCATAATTTATAGCTGAAAGACATTGTCAGAAAACAAGATGAGCATCAAATGGTTTATCATTTTTGTACTCAGTGAATTCCCATTTCCCTCATACACAGCATCAATAGAAAAAGTCATTCAACATTGGCATCCAGCAGCAATTCTAGTTCAAATTATTCAAAATCAACCACTCCATCATCTAGTCAAGAAACATTGTCTAGAACTATCAGTTCCCTCCTCAGAAGGATTGAGTCAACATAGCGTTCTACATAAAAACCATGCCCTGTAGGCTAATCAGTTCCCACATTCAATGCAAAGAAATATAGACAACTAGTTTCTTGGGCAAGCTTTTCTAGCTAGATTCTTAGTGTAGCCAGCTTTCAACCAATGCAGATGCTGTGGTGGCTAATTCTTACTATGCTCTATTATGTGCAATTTCAAGCCACAGCTAAGCTCAGGCAACAACAAATGCCAGCCCAGCCCACCCTATTGCTTCACAGTTTCTGAAGCTGGCACATGTCCCTGGAGAATAATACCCACCAGCTCCAAACCTAGTAGCTCAAGAAAATTAACACACACGAATGCCAATGTTCATATTAGCATATTAGCACAGGGAGGTCCAGTGCTAAATGAAGATGTCAGTTGAGACTTGCTAGACTGGATGTACACTCCCAGGAGCTGCAGTTCTCTTTAGCATTGGCTATGTTTTTTCTTCTCTAGTCAGCTCATTATGGTAACAGAAGATGTAGTACTGGTTTACGTACAGCAAATTGGATGATTCCCTGTTAGGAAAGAAGGAGGTCAGCAGCAGACTCCTTATAATAATGCCAAAGTTAACAATAATGGGAAATTGTCTAAAACTCGAAGAAATGGGTCATTTTATGAGTGATGGGCTTGACAGTGAGGGTGGGGAGGTGTAGGTGAAGATGCCGGTGCAAATCAAAGCCCTGGATTGTAGGCTTCCTTTTATCATTTTATCACTCCTTCTTTTTCAATCACAGTTTATATTCAACATTATTTTGCATTAGCTTCAAATATACAGTTAGACAATTAGACAATTCTCTACTTTACAAAGTGTTCCCCCAATATTTCTAGTACCCACCTGGCACCAGACATAATTATTACAATACTAGAGGCCCAGTGCATGAATTCGTGCACCAATGGGGTTCCTCAGCCTGGCCTGTGGGATTGGGCTGAAACCGGCTCTCCGACATCCCCCAAGGAGTCCTGGATGCGAGAGGGTGCAAGCCAGGCCGAGGGACCCCACTGGTGCATGATCAGGGCTGGGGAGGGATGCGGGAGGTTGGACAGCTGGAAAGGGGCCATATGAGGGCTCCAGGGTATGTCTGACCCATCTTGCTCAGTCCCAATCAGCCGGACCCTAGCAGCAAGCTAACCTACCTGTCGGAGCGTCCACCCTCTGGTGGTTGGTGCACATCATAACGACTGGTCAACTGGTTGACTGTCTGCCCCCTGGTGGTCAGTGCATGTCATAGCGAGCTGTTGAGCTGTCTTAGCATATCATTAGCATATTATGCTTTGACTGGATGACCAGACACTTAGCATATTAGGCTTTTATTATATAGGATTTGGATTACACATGTAAGTGCAATCATATAGAATTTGTCTTTCTCTGACTTGTTTCACTTAGCAAAATACCCTCTAGGTCTATTCATGCTGTTGCAAATAAGATTTCATTCTTTTTTATAACCTAGCAGTATTCCATCATGTATATGTACCACAACTTTTTTATTCACTCATCTATTGATGGGCACATGGGTTGCTTTCATATCATGGCTATTGCAAACAATGCTTCGATGAAAATGGAGGTGCATATATTCTTTTGAATTAGTGTTTTGGGTTTCTTTGGTTATATACCCGGAAGTGGAATTACCATGTCTAAGGCAATTCCATTTTGAATTTTCTGAGGTATTGCTACACGGTTTTCCATAGTGGTGGCACCAATCTGCATTCACACCAACAGTGCAATAGGGTTTTCTTTTCTCCATATCACCACCAACACTTGTTGCTTGTTGATTTATTGATGATAGCCCTTCAGACAGGTAGGAGATGGTATCTCATTTTGGTTTTGATTTAAATTTCTCTGATGATTAGTGGTGTTGAACATCTTTTCATATGCCTATTGGCTAGTAGTATGTTCTCTTTGGAGAAGTATCTATTTAGGTTTTCTGCCCATTTTTCAATTGGATTGTTTGTTGTCGTTTTTTTGGAGTTGAGTTGTATCAGTTCTTTATATTTTTTGGATACTAACCCCTTGATGGAGCTGTTGTTTGCAACTATCTTCTTCCATTCGGTTGGTTGCCTTTTTGTTTTGCTGGCAGCTCCATTTGCTGTGCAGAAGTTTGTTAATTTAATATGGTCCCATTCATTTATTTTTGCTTTACTTTACTTTCTTTTGGGGTCAAATTCATAAAATCCTCTCTAAGACCAAGGTCCATAAGTTTAGTACCTATGTTTTCTTCTATGGAATTTATTTTTTCAGGTCTTAAATTTTAGTCTTTGATCCATTTTGAGTTAATTTTGTAAATGGGGACAAACAGTAGTCTAGTTTCATTCTTTGCATGTTGCTTTCCAATTTTTCCAGCACCACATATTGAACAGCCTTTTTTTTTCCCAATGTATTTTTTTTTGGTTCCTTTGTCGAAAGTTATTTGTCCATATGTATGTTAGTTTCTTTCTAGGCTCTCAATTCTGTTCCATTGTTCTGTGTGTCTGTTCTTCTGCCAATACTATGCTGTTTTGATTATTGTCATTTTCTAGCATAATTTGAAGTCAAGGAGTTTGATACCTCCAGATTTGCTCTCTTTTCTCTGGATTGCTTTGTCTATTTGGGGTCTTCTGTAGTTCTATACAAATCTGATAATTTTTTGATCTACTTCTTTTAAAAATGCCATTAGGTTTTGATGAAGATTGTATTAACTTTGTATATTGCATTAGGTAATGAAAGGTTAAAGTCAGTGGTATGCAGGCAAGGCTAAATAGCCATCTCAGACTGTAATTAAAGAAAATTTAAATTTATTTAAATAAAAGGGAATGGGGGATGGAGATATCCAAAGGGCAGGGTTACACAGTACTGAGCCAAAGGGAATTGGGTCCATGATAGCAGCAAAAATATTCTTAGGGCAGTGAAACAAGGAAGGGCATCGAAGAAGCAACAGGAGAGCCTGGGCTGGGCTGCTTTGGCTCACTGAGAAGCCAGAGAAAAGGGGGCCTTGGAGACAGGTTCAGGGGCTTAGCCCGGGACGAGCTGCAGCTGCCCATTGCTCCCTGGTTGCAAGCCTCATGGGGTCTCTTAGAGGTTAGGGGATACGTGCCTGTGGGGGGAGGAGAAGGGGAAGGAAATGACCTTGGCGGGCGAGCAGGCTCTGGGTCCTTTGTCCTGAAAGCTTAGTTATCTCTTTCTTGCAGGTGGAAATCTTAGGGGAGATTTCAGGGGAGGGTCTTAATAGAATATTCATCAGCTTTCCAGGTGTCATCTTCTCCTCTGATTGGTTGGTGCCAGGGCAGAGGGTCATTAGTCAATGTAGCTGGTCCTGAGGCTACACAATATCACTTGTCTGGTTTTGCTGCTTTTCTGGGCCTGGAGCTGAAATGCAACTAAGACCTATCTTTAGGGAGGAAAATGTCAGGGGGTCTAAACCGCCTGACCAGTGATATGGAAGATAAGGGGTCCAAACCACATGACCAGTGATATGCGAGGGGAGGTTACGCTACCGTGGGGGTGAGGTCCTTGTTTTCCCAGCATTGCCCCTGGTTAGCATCTGGGGCTTTCTGCCCTGGTGAGTTTCTGTACCGGGCCATCATCCTTACTCTACTTATGTCTGTCTAACAGGTAATATGCCATATTAACTTTGTTGATTCTTCCAATTAGGAACACAGAATATCTTTACATTTATTTGTGTCTTTTTCAATCTCTTTTAATAATACTTCGTAGTTTTCAGTGTGTAAGTCCTTCACATCCTTTAAGTTTATTTGTAGGTATTTTATTCTTTTTGTTGCAATCGCAAAAGGAATTGTTTTTTTCCATTTCTTTTTCTGAAATGTCATTGTTAGTATATAGGAATGAAATGAAATTTTATACATTGGTTTTGTATTCTGCAACTCTACTGTTTATTGTTTCTAATAGTTTTGCAGTAGAGTTTTTAGTATTTTCTATATAAAAAATCAAGTCATCTGCAAAAACTGACAATTTTATTTTTTCATTCCTAATTTGGATGCCTTTTATTTATCTCTTTTGTCTGATTGCACTGGCTAAGACTTCCAGGACTACGTTGAATAACAGTGGTGAGAGTGGACAATGAGGTATCACCTCACACCTGCTAGAATGGCTACCATCAATAAATAAATAAACAAGTGTTGGTGAGGATGTGGAGAAAAGTTAACCTTAGTACACTGCTGGTGGGAATGCCGACTGTGCAGCCACTGTGGAAAACAGTATGGGGTTTTGTCAAAAAACTAAAAATGGAACTGCCAATGATCCCATTGTGGGACTATAATCTCAGAATCCAGAAACAGCAATCAAAAAGAATATATGCACTTCTATGTTTATAGCAGTATTATTTACAGTAGCTAAGATATGGAAACTGCCTAAATGCCCATCTGCAGATGGGTAGATAAAAAAAACCCGTAGTACATTCACACAATGGAATACTATGGGGCTGTAAAATAGGAGTTCTTAAACTTTGTGACAGCATGGAGGGACCTGGAGATTATTATACTAAATGAAATAAGCCAGGTAGAGAAAGACAAATACCACATGGTCTCACTTATATGTGAAATCGAATGAACAAAATAAACTGATGAACATAGAAGCATGGAACAGAATGACAGATCTCAGAGATGGGGCGGGGGGAGGGAGTGGAGGGGATGGGAAGAAATTAGCCAAAGAACATATATGCATATATGCATAACCCATGGACACAGACAATAGTGGGGGAAGGCCTGGAGTGGGGCGGGGGTAGTGTGGAGGGAGAAAAAAGGGGCAAAATGGGGGACATCTGTAATACTGTCAACAATTTTTTAAAAGATGCAGGATTCCAGAGGGTGGGTGAGCCGGATTCTTGAGGGTGGGGTAATGCTTTTCCCCATGCTGATGGCGCTGGGGGGTGATTGCTCCTTGCAGGAAAATGGCTGCTGTGGTGGGGAGATGGCCCAGCACAGGGATCCTTGCAGCCACTCTGCCACGTCTCTTCCCAAAGCCATTCTTCCCAGTCTCTCCTAAGGTGATTTCAGTCCACATCACCCTCTCTCTGCTGGAGCCCAGGGTAAGTGGCTGGCAACAGTTTTGCTCATTGGCCCTTTAAAAGGGTTGCTTTGTCTCCAGCAGGCCCACCTCTCCCTGGCGGACAGGAACCCCTCAGCCCTTCACAGCTAGATGCTACGTGGGAACTGTTCCCCACGAGGCTGGTGATCCAGGCTGGGGATCCAGGCTGGGAGTGTGGTCTGGGATCTAGGCTTCAGGCCTCACAGGTTAACCTCTTCATTTGAGCTGTCCCTTCCCCAACTTTGGCCTGTTTCCTGTGGGATGGAGCCAATCTTACATGTCTAGCCCTTCCTAACAGTCTTGAGGTGACTTCTTCTGCCAGTTGTTGGCATTCAGGTAGTCTTTAGTTGATAATTCAGAGTGATTGTTCCCTAATTTAGTTGTGATTTCCAGTTCTGTTCTGGGAGGAGTTGCAAGCAAGATCCACTTACTCTGCTGCCATTTTGAACCCTGCCCACTTTCAGTTGGATTGTTTGTTTTCTTGGGGTTAAGTTGTATGAGTTCCTTATATATTTTGAAAAATTAACTCCTTATCAAATGTATCATTGGTAAATATGCTGTCCCATACAGTGGATTCCCTTTTCATTTTGTTGACGGTTTCTTTTGCTGTGCAGAAGCTTTTGATTTTTTAAAATTTTTTATTTTTTGTTGTTGACACTGTTACACATGTCCCTCATTTTTTCCCCCCTTTGCTCACTTCCACCCCATCCTCAGTCCCCAGCCCCCAGCCCCCAGTTTAATTTTTCGTTGTTTCCATTGCCCTAGGAGATATATTGGCAAAAATGTTGCTATGAGAGATGTCTGAGATTTTACTGCCTGTGTTTTCTTCCAGGATTTTTATGGTTTCCCGATTTTTATCCATTTCGAGTTTATTATTTTGTATGGTATAATTTGGTGGTATAGTTTCATTTTCTTGCATGCACCTGTTCAAATTTCCCAATATTATTTATTGAAGAGACTGTCTTTACTTCATTATATGCTCTTGGCTTCTTTATCAAATATTAATTGTCCAAAGTGGCATGGGTATATTTTTGGGCTCTCTGTTCTTTCCATTGACCTACATACTTGTTCTTATACCAATACCAGGTGGTTTTTATTACCGTGTACTGTAGTATAGTTTAATATCAGGTCTTTTGATGCCTCCAACTTTGTTTTTTCTCAAGATTGCTGCAGCTCTTTGGGGTCTTTTTTGGTTCCATACACATTTTTTTGAATATTTGACCTAGACCTGTGAAATATGCCATTGGTATTTTAATAGGAATTGTGTTGAACTCTCGACTGTTTTAAACCCCACCTTGGTTTCTTGTGTTTTAGCCTGAGAAGAAGTTTGGCGTGGTGGTGGTGGGCGTTGGCAGAGCCGGCTCTGTGCGGATGAGAGACTTGCGGAGCGCACATGCTTCCTCAGCTTTCCTGAACCTGATTGGCTTCGTGTCCAGGTGGCTCACACTTGCTTTTCACCTTGTAATTCATGGGGAGCCCAGTGGGATGGAGAAGGCCTGGGGATACGGAGATTCTCGTGACCCAGGAGAGAGAATCAGCTCCAGGGTTTTCCAGAAAACTTTGCTCAGGGTTAGTCCCACAAGATCTCAAGTTTGGATAGGTCTGGGAACTGAAGCATGCTGGGATGAGCAGTGAACCAGCCTAGAAGGGACTACAAAGGCAAAGAAGGGAAGATGATCACAAGGCTTATAGTTACACAGCGGGCACAGGGAACACAGGGAGGGCTGGCCTGAAGGAAGGCTTTAGGTGTGCAGCAGTTAATCACTACATCACTTATCCATGCAGTAGCCCTGAGCTTTCTGAGCCTTACCCACCATTTGACATAGATACCATTACCATTATCAACTCCACCTTTAAGAAATTGAGCCACTTTTTGAAAGGTTGAGTCATTTGCCTGAGGTCGCACAGCTGGAAAGTCTAAGAACTGGATTTGAATGTAGGTCTATTTGATTCCAAGGCCCGTCTTTAAATACCATGTGTTCTTTTTCCTTTGATAATTTTGAGCCCCACTTTTTGGGAGCTTCATTTCTGTCGTGTAACCAACCAAAATCAAACTTATCACCATTTGTATTATTTATTGCCCCATTTCAGCTCTTTTCTCCACCCCTCACTGCTTTCTCACACACATATTGCTCACCAAACTAATGCTATGTAACATCATTTATCAATATTAATTGTGAACTAGCTGCAGGCATTGTGTTGGCTGAGGAAATGTGGTGGTGAGTAAGGTAGGCATGTCTCTACTTTCTAGTGCTTTAGAGAAATCAAATAAATACATTTAGAAAGCATAATTAACTATTTGATAGTCCATGCAGATTCTTTTATTTATTTATTTAATTTGTTTATTTAAATATATTTTTTTATTGATTTTAGAGAGGAAGGGAGAGGGGGAGAGAGAGATAGAAACATCAGTGGTGAGAGACAATCATTGATTGGTTGCCTCCTGCACACTCCCTACTGGGGATTGAGTCTGCAACCTGGGCATGTGCCCTTGACTGGAATCGAACCCGGGACCCTTCAGTCCACAGGCCGATGTTGTATCCCCTGAGCCAAACCAGCTAGGGCCATGCAGATTCTTTTAATATTTTAATTTATGGGGCCTACTTTCTTCCAGTTTGCCTGTCTCAAAATTTGGCTATTTCTTTAAATATTTAAAGTGGACTTTGGGTCACTAGGGTGACTCAGAAGTGCTGGGAATCTGCAGATGGTCAATCCTCCCCTCCCAGTAAGATTCTAAGGGAGCTGCATACAAATGGGAGATCAAAAGTACCATTAGCCATACTATAACGCCCGCTGTGCCCCGGTTTGAAGCTCTCATTGAGCATGATGAAGTGAAGCTTCTCCTTTTTGCTTAAGCCTCAGCCCTCTGCCAACCGGCTGCCATGGCTGATGCAGTGGAAATTCCTAAAGTCCCCAGGTTGTGTGGGAAGATGGGCAGCTCATATCCACTGCTTTACTGCACCCTTGCCATTGTCACACTTTTCCCCTGCTCACCTACCCTGTTCCTCAGGGTCTATCTGCTAAGTCCTACCTTCTCCCCAGGAGGCCTTTTCTGAAACCCTAAACTTGATGTTTCCTGCCCTCCTTGAGTCTCCCACATGTACTCCAGCACCATAGTTCTCATGTTAGACCTGTGTTGTTGTTATTGATGT